GCCCTGAATCGAGCCCATTAATAAAAAAAATGCTTATTATTTTTAGCATTTTTGCTTATTTATTTGAGATTTGGTTATGGAATTGATTCGGAAATATATTTTTATGATGATATTTGTGTTTCCCCCGACTGATGATTAGTTAGATTTGGTGCTTCTCATCCGTCAGATCTGCTTGATTCGCGTTCTTCGAGAGTTACTCGTAGGTTTCTATAAATGGTTTAAATAGAGGTTATTATTATTCATATTAGGATTCCACTATAGTTTTCCGATTCGTAGATCTGGTGTTGCCGCTGATCGTGATCGACAGACTCAGTAGTAGGTTTCCCTATCATACTACTCAGATCGATACACATGTGTTTCCTGATGGTGTTACATTACTATTTTAAACTATTTATCTGAATTGTTTTAGATTTATGAGGATATTGAATATTTTTATGACACGATACCTAATTTTTTGAATATTGTTTATCTGATATCTGATTTATTATACTTTCTGATATGATCTCTAAATTATGTATTTATGTATTTGATTTATGAGTATGGAATATTTTCTTGTTTTAATGGATTAAACTATCGTTTTCACTAGAATACATACATGTTTATTACTGTCATTGGGGGTATTATTGGAGGAAGTATATCAGACCTAGTCTATGACTTGTAACACCTTACCACAAACTCCTCTGCTTTTGCTCAGGATAAGTCCTTACCACAGGTCCTTATAATAGATGTATAAGGCCCTTACCGGGTGTACAGATGGGTGTAAAGTTATGGGGAACTTACACATTCTGGTGATTCGATTGGGGCATTGTTCATATTTTTAAAGCATGTTCGATTAATTGATTTTTACTGAAGTATTTTATCTGTATGGTTTTATACACCGTAAGAAACACACTGGGGTTTTTAGCTCATTTTGTAAATTTTAACATTTTTAGATAGTAGCAGACCGTAGGCTAGCAGACTTGGCATCAAGAGGTTCGACTAATCCTATTTTTGTACCACTGTGTATCTCTATATGTCTTTTTGTTATACTTTGGTGCCACTTGTGTTTGTTACCATCTCGATCTATTTTTATTTCTGGTATTTTGTTTTGTATATATTTTATATTGTTTTATATATATATATGTTTATCGTATGAACCTTTCTTATGACTAATTTCATAGTATATTGTTATATGAATTTTAACGTTGTTTTAAATATGAAAAGAATTTCTGAATATGATACGTAACCGTCTATATTTAGGCATAACGTCCAGGTCGGGTCTAGGGGGTTACACTTGGTGGTATCAGAGCTTTCGGTTTTAAACACTCGGACTGCAGATAAGTCCTAAAATCTAGATTTTAAAGATATTTTTGATATTTTCAAAAAAAAATTGTATCACCTTATTTTATGAGTTTTAAATATATTCGAGATTCCTAGTGTTAGTCTAACTTAGGTTCAAATTCTTTCTATATAGCCTTGTTGATTTATCTGATGAGTATTGCTAGATGTCGTAGGCCAGGCTATGGCCGTGGTTGAGGGTGAGTGACTCGACCTTCTGTTCAATAGACGATTCGATGTAACCTCGAGATCCTCTTATTTCGTATGTAGATCCGTCATTTTCTCATGATGATCTGGTTACACTTATGAAAACCCTCCTGTCACTGAGGATGAGGACACTAATTTGGATAAGGATGCCATTAATAGAGTTGTTTTTCGTATGTTTCGTATAGCTGCTAGAGTCTCTGATAATATGTCTGTGGTCGATATTTCGAAGTTTTTGCTAGCTGCTGGAGTAGTTTCGTTCGAGGGCATTACTAGTGGACCTCCAACTGACACTGAGTATTGATTCGAGAATATAGAGAGGATTATGGATGAGATGGATCTGAGGCTTGAGCAGATATTAAAGAAGGCCCTAGTCATGCTTAAGAAAGAGAGTATTCCAGGTAATCAATTGACTTGGGATCTTTTTAAGGCACATTTTCAGGGTCGTTACATCAGAGAGAGATACTTGCAGGAGCGACACCTGGAGTTTTAGAATTTGGAGCAGGGTGATATGTCCATTATGGATTATGAGATTAAATTTATCAGATTACGCCACTATGCTATTGTACTGGTTGACAATGAGTTGGATCGGTGCTTCAGATTCAAGAATGAACTCATGTATAAGATCAATAGTCGAGTTGCTACCCACCGGGAGAGGAACTTTGATGCCTTGGTTGAGATAGCTAAGACCACTGAGGAGATGGAGCGAGTGAGTATGGAGCGTATGAGAGATAGAGACTGAGATCGAGACCAATTCAAGAGGCCTTCTGGTTCTGTTGACTCTTCTATATGCCCTAACAAGAGAAAAATGGGTGAGTCTTTTCAAAGAGGTGGTACAAGTGCCAGGCCTGTGGCGTCAGATTCATTAGTTGTAACGCCTTCTATTCAGGGTGATTCTTTTGGATCGCAACCTTTGCCGTCATGTGAGCAGTGTGAGAGACGTCATTTTGGTGAATGTAAGAAGAAGTTGGGTACCTATTTTAGATGTGGTTCTGTTAACCATCTCCTGAGGGATTGTCTAAAGCTAGCTCCTACAGTTCAAACACCAAATCGTACTTTCGCTAGTACTTAGAGTACAGTTCAGACTCCAGCAGGGGGTTGTAGTCAGGAGAGAACATCAGGGTCAACTAGTAGAGGCCAAGCATCACAGAGTAGGGTTCCAGTCAGCCTGCATTGGTTTACACTGCTAGACGTCGATAGAACCGCGATGAGCATGATTTGATTTGAGGTACTATTATTATTCATTCAGTTCCCTACTTTGCATTGTTTGATAGTAATTCTACCCATTCATATGCGTCGTATTCCATTTATGAGGATCTTAATATTTTGGTTAAGAATACTGAGAGTTCGGTGACAGTTCAGAGTCTCGTAGGTCAATCCATAGAGTTAGATCGTATTTTTAGAGGGTGTCTTATAGAAATCCATGGGGAGATCTTTATAACCGACCTGACAGAGTCGATAGAGGCTCAATTTACAAATCTATTTACATCAAGTAAATTTCAAAGAGGAAATTTCTTTTAACGGGGAGAGTTGTCACACCCCAAAATAGTGCCTAAAATTTTCTTAAAATTTATTTTGATGACTAAATTGAAATTTTAACTAAATTTAGGGAGCAAAGTGAAATTTTGATTAAATTTAGATCAAAATTTAGAAAGTATAAAAAACTAGAGGACTTATGGCATAATTTTACTATTTTCCTTTTAAGGAATATATAACCCCCAAATCTGGAAAGTTTCCTCATTGGAAAACATCGTTCTCTCTCTCTTCAAGCGTTCCTCTTTTAGCAAGAAACTTCAATTGACGCTTCTGTATGTCGTGTTCCGCACGTCGTCTTGAGTCCACCAGTGTCCATTTTCTCTCCATTGCCGCCGGCATGTGAGGGGTGAGGAAGAACAAGTTTTTGATGTTGTAAAATCGAGCTCTCCGTTGTTCACCGCTGTAAGTCGAGCTTGGTAAGTGTCTCAAAACCCCTTAAAATGCATATAAGATTTTTTTTGCAATTTTTCGACCCCCAAAGGCCCCGCAAGCACCCCCATGCGCCGCCATTGCACGTGGGGAAGCCCCAGCGCCTGGTGGGCTTCTATAAACTGCCCGATCTGACCCGCCTACTCGACCCGACCCGTTTGTCCGACCCAAACCAAACAGGTCAGTCGTTAACAGTTGACCGTTGATCGGCGTTGACTTTTTTCGAAAACCTCCATCTTGACATTTTTTGACGTCCTGAGTCTGATTTTGCGATATCTTTTGCCAAATTCTTACCCAAAAGCCCTGAATTGAACCTGTTAATAAAAAATGCTTAGTATTTTTAGTATTTTTGCTTATTTATTTGAGATTTGGTTATGGAACTAATTCGAAAATATATTTTTATGAAGGTACTCATGTTTTCCCTAATTGATCATATTTTAGGATTCCAATATTGATTTTCCGATTCATAAGATCTAGCGATGCCGTTGATTGTGATCGGTAGACTCAATAGTAGACTTCTCTATCAAACTACTCAGACCGATACATGTGTTTCCTGATGGTGTTACATTACTGTTTTAAACTGTTCATCTGAACTGTTTTATATTTATGATAATATTGCATATTTTATGACGCGATTTCTGATTTTCTGAATAATGTTTATCTGATATATGATTTACTGTACATTCTGATATGATATCTGAATTTAGTATTTTTGTATCTGATTTCTGAGTATGAAATGTTTTCATGTTTTAATGGATTAAACTATCATTTTCACTCGAATACATACATGTTTATTACTGTCATCGGGTGAATTATTGGAGGAAGTATATTAGGCCAAGTCTATGACTTGTAAGACCTTATCGCATACTCCTCTGCTTTTTGCTCGGGGTAAGTCCTTACCGCATGTCCTTATGCTATATGTATAAGGCCCTTACCAGGTGTACAGGTGGGTGTATGGTTCTGGGGAACCTACACACTCTGGTGATCGGATGGGAGTAGTGTTCATATTTTTAAAATATGTTTGATGAATTGATTTTTACTGAAGTATTTTATCTGTATGATTTTATACACCGTAAGGAGCACACTGAGCTTTTTAGCTCATTCTATAAATTTTAACATTTTCAGATATAGCAGACCGTAGGCTAACAGACTTGGCATCAGGAGGACCGACTACTCCTATTTTTGTACCACTGTATATCTCTATATGCCTTTTTGTTATACTTTGGTGCCACGTGTTTTTGCTACCTTCTCGATATATATGTATTACCGGTATTTTATTTTGTATATGTTTTATAAGATTTTCTGATATATGTATATGTGTATGTGTCGTATGAACCTTTCTTATGACTAATTTCATATTATACTGTTATATGGATTTTAACGTTGTTTCAAATATAAAAAGAATTTCTGAATACGATATGTAACTGTCTAGATTTGTGCATAACGTCTAGGTCGGGTTTAAGGGTTATATATATACACTTGTGAAAAGAGTAGTATATTATATGGCTGGAAGAGAATAGAGAAAATCAAAGACAACCTCTTATTTATTAAGAGCACAACATCCACCTTTCAAGATTAAAGTAGATTAAGATTACAATAATGATTGATTATTGGGCATGGATGAATCCACATTGTTTCCACTTTCAAGCAGCATCGACAGCAATCTTCAACCCCCCATCACAATGGCCGGGAATGCTACAAATGAAATAATTTCTTCCTTTCGATAGTTTAATTGCATCATTTCCACTGCTGTAAACTGCAGAGCTTGGAGAAGCTGAGCAACTGTTGTAGCCATTGATATCAACTACTGCAACATTATGCACTGATGGATCATAATTGAACACTGCATCAAAGCATTAAATCAGCTACTTAATTTGCTTATATATATATATATATATACATTCATTCGATTGTTACCAAGAGCATCTCCGGCCTTGAACTTTTTCCCCCTTGTCCAACTTTGAACGTTGAAACTCCAGCCTGAAGCTTCACCGACTGTGAAAGTTTTTGCCTGAGTGATCTCCGATTGAGCTAAGAACAAAGCGAGAGTGCAAGCAACAGCTATAACTGGGCTTGAACTGCATCTTCCCTGGTTGTTACTCATTTTTCTTACTTAAAGAAGAGAAGGGTATTGAATACTAAGTTATTGTAAGATGTTGGTTTTTGACAAAATGGAAATGCATGGTTGGTTGCTTTTTATAGATAATATTCCCCCACCAAAGGACAGGCATGTAGTGCTGGTAATGGCAACCAAACTTTATTTGATTTTATTTGTCACGGATTTAAATAATAGGAAGAAACAGACGAATGATTTGATGTTAAGAGGGTGAATTCCTTAAAAAAAGTTATTAATAGAAAATATAAAGAAAATTATTAAATCATGAGAATTTAAATTTTTTTAAGAAACAACCGTTTACGTCAACTCCCCTTAATCTATCCCCGATTACAGCTACAAGACGATTAACTATAAATCTCGTGAGCTCTTACTTAATCAATGAAAACTTGTTTGTTACATTGACAAGCATTTCTTACCTAAAATGTTCCTTTTTGGAGCTCTCCTTTCTCGTGAGTATTTGGTTAGCCAATGATCTTTTTAGACCAAACTCCAAATTATCAGGCTCTTTGGTTGGTGTTTTTTTGTTTTTGTTCGCTAAGAAGATGATTTTAAGATTCCAATTTCCCATTGTTTGCCACGATCTAATCTTTTCCATAACAAGAACTAAGGATGTCTGCAATAAATTAATAATGTCTGTAAGAACTGAAACTCGAAGGAGTTCTTGACCACTTGCATTTTTCTTTCATATTAACATAAATATTCATTAGTTTATATTAAATTGAAGTTTTTAAATTTTATTTTGATAAAAATATTATTTTTTAATTAATTAAGTTTCAATTTTTTTTTATCAAAAATAATATTTCAAGTAAGCACATTTTGAATTATTGCTATGTGGGTGTTATCGTAGTTGGTAGACTTTCTTTTAAGAGGTTTTCTTAATTTTGTTTCACTTAATTAATGAAAGTGGCCGTTGTTCCTAAAGTTAACAAATTCTAAATTTCTTAGAATCAAAATGAAAACCTAGAACTCAATTGATGTTGCTCATTTGAAAAAAAAAAATTGTCGAAAAAGCAAATAGAAAGGAAAAGACAATAAAAATATGGTGTGACAAATATAGAGAGGGGCGACTATCATTTTATATGATTAATAGAATTGCAAAACTATCAAATAATAGTTATCTACTTCAACCACTCTATAAATATGAATGACTCGTTTCCTAAAAAAGAACTCCCGCTATTCATATTACTCACAATGTATCATCTTTACATGGTTCAGTTTTCAGAAACCATTTCCTTAAACATCCCTAATTTGATTGCTTTAAGAATGGGGACAACTTACTACTGTTGAAAGAAAGAATCACCCGACACTTCATGAGTATAAAAATGTCTTAAATCTGAATTTATCAAGGAATTTTAATGGTTAAAAGGAGCGTTGTTTTTACTAAAGTCTTAGATTCAAGTAATTATGTCTGCAAGGTATGGATTATCAATAGTTAATTTTTTTTAAACATATACTATGTTATAATCACCTTATATTATTAAAAAAAATTGTTTTCAATCCACCCCACAACGCACTGGCCCAACCACTCTAATTTTGCAGGATCAATTGCTCCATGGATCACTATGCGTTCCTTCTAATTATTTCCTTCATCCCGCTCATAGATTAACATACCGCTAACACCTCTATTCACCTATGGGAAACCTTTTTGCATCATCTGATTTGATGAACCAAATTCTTCCAACCTTAGAGAGGATTTAATGTTCTTAATTTCCATTATCTTTCCTATTCAACCTGTCAATGACTATTTTCATATTAATTTTTATTACGCGTAATCAAATTTCTATTCTAACTTTTGTTTTTATTACTCTAATTTATAAGTGCATACATTTTAAAAGGATTTTAAAAATCTTTTTTATGAAAGCTAAATATAAAAATAACCAGCCACACTTAAATGATCGATGTCGATTCTATTTTCAAAATATATGCACATCTTCAATGTATGCACACTCTAATAAATATCAATGGAAAGCCGGAAGGAATAATATTAATTTTTTTGTTAGTATGAGATGAATACAATATATTATTTGTTCTAAATCTTTTTTAGTCTTTGACAACGTACACACACTCCCAAACGCAATTGTTTTAACCTATGACCTCTAAGGAAACTAACATTCCATATAACCACTGAGATCATTTGATGGATTCGAAAATCGTATTATTTTATCCAACATCCATGAAGATAATCATATTATCTCATATCTTTTATCATTTATGATAGAGTGGCTGAAACAAAAGATAACATAGAATGAAGAACGATGATGAATTTAATAATATCCCACAATCTCTAACCTTAACCGAATTTGACAGGCATGACTTAATTTGCTTAGCCCATAACAAACTCACCAGCTAAGTAGCCTTCTTATCATTATTAGCCCATAAACTTTAAGGCTAAGCATTTAAACCATTAACTTTTTGGGTAAAGTACACAAATGATCTCCAACTATAGGGTGCTACTTTGTTGAGTCATCCAACTATTAAAAGTTATAAAATGATACTTCGACTATAAGTTGCTTTGTTGAGTCCAAACTATTAAAAGTTATAAAATGATCACTTGACTATTTATATGTTTCAAACTCATCCTTTTTTTCATTAAAAATTTGACGGTCGTCTGAGTTTGACGTTAACATATTGACTGTGATATGATAAAATTATATTTTAATAATGTCTACTGGCACTATCGTTGCTTTCAAGGCCTAGCTTGATTACATAATATAAACAAAGATTTGATACATAAAATACTACTCAAATGGTCGTCTGAACTTAAACAACCATCAATTTTTTTAACAAAAAATGATAAGTTTGCGATATATTAATAGTCGAGTGATCATTTTATAACTTTTAATAGTCGAATGAATCAACAGAGTAGTGTCCTATAGTCGGAAGCATTTGTTTACTTTACCTTATTCTTTTGGAAAAATAGGCAAAGTAATTAAAATTTTGGGGAGTCTTATTTTATTCAAGGAGATTGCACTATGATATTCTTGTTCCACAATTATAAATTGTAATCGATGCAAATATTAATATATTTATCTGAAATATGGATGAACTTGCAAAGTGATAACTTCACTCAATCCCTTAAGAAAAATGCGAGAATTGGAAGAACAAAATATTGATCCACCATTTGCGACTACAAAAGCTGGAGTAATTAGTAATTATATCATTTAATCATTGTTATGGTATACTAATAAAGTTTAGTAGATGAATATAGGAAACTACGTAACAAATATGATCGTTAAATAGATGCCCTGGTATGGAAACAAAAATGTAAAAATCTAAAATAGAAATAAACAAATGTTGAAAATGGCATGATGTGATCGATAAATAACTTGAATATATCCAAAATAAATTCTTATCGACTCAATTTGAAATTGATTCAAATCCAAAACGACTTGAACAACAAATAATCCAAACTTAGAATGATTACAGTAATATATCCCATAAAATTGTTGAAATATATAAAAGAAAGATGTTTTGGACCACCCAAAAAAACATAATAATTAGTTGAATGAGAAAAAGCATATGATTGGGTAACATTTTTTAATGAACAAGAGGAGAAATAAATGATACAGTAATGATGATCAAATCATGACTTTGGCATCTCGACTTTCTCGAATTACGTGAAGACAAAAGCAATGTCCCAAATAAATGACCTAATAATTTTCAGACAAAACAAAAGAAAAGGTTCTTCTGATCATCTCTTCTTCACTGTGTCACACAGTAGTTCTGACAAGTGCTGCTCTCATTTTGGCCCAGCAGACCAGATTCCTTTCTTTCCTCCCCCTATGGCTTCAACACCATGGGAAAAAATGAAAGGAAATTCATGCACACATGAACTCCTAAAATTTTAAAAATAAATTATTATATAATAATTTAAAATTTTCGAGAAATAGTTGGTTCCCTCAATCCATCCGGCTCATGCTAATCTTTCTTCCCTCTCCTTCCTTTTATAATCCACTTTTGTTAAATTCGATCCACTGGATTTGAAGGGATTTTTTTTATAGTTTCAAGATTTTCCCAAATATATAAACAAAAAGAGGTTGCAGAGATTTGAATCTCTACTGCATGAACTTACAGGACTCTTGTTTTACATGTAATCAAAAGGAAAATATATAAACCATACCATAATCTTCTATATATGAAACAAATAGTACAAGTAGAAAAATATAGAGTATCTCTCTTCCTATACATTTCTAGTTCAAAAAAGGAAAAAAAAAAGAAGAAGTAATATGGTAGAGACGATGACGATGACAACAAAGGTAACAACAAACTCCTCTCAGAGAGGACAAGCAGTATTCATGGCGGAACTAAACACAGTACTCATATTAAAAGATATGTAAAAAAAAAAAAAGAAAAACAAATTAACAATAACTTTTCCGTCACGACACATTATCATCTTCAACCCCCACTAATCAAAGTTTTACCTGTTGGAAATAGGGTTGGGACCGCTCGGAACCTCGTGAGCTTCCGCTCCAAACTCCCTACGTGAGGATTTCGACGACGACGAGCGGTGCTCGGGGTACGAGTTTGTGGTCGATGATTTCGATGAGTTGTTTAAGAGGAGCCTCTTGAAAGGGATTGAAGGGGTGACATTAGAGGAGTCGATGGGGTTTGCAGAAGGGGTAAGGAGAAGAATGAAAAGGAAGAAAAGGGTTAGGATCAGAAGAAAGAAATGGGGTTTTTCAAAGGTGTGAGAGAGTGATGATGATGCAGGTGCCATACAATCAAAGAAAGTAAGAAAAAACCACCCCCCAAGAGTCCACAAAGGTTCAATATCCATGAACCAGCACCAAGGCTAATTAGGTTAGAAGAAGGGGGAAAATCTTCAAACAAAGGAAAGAGAAGAACGTTCAGCAAAGTTATGAAAATTCGATACACATTTGTAGCGGAACCGAGTTAAAGTAACATGGAAGCTTATATGAAAGGTGTATTGGAATTTGGTTTGATGAATTCACCAAATAGCCCTTTCTTAATTATTACAAGTTTATGAATCTATATTGTGAGGATAATATTAAGGGTAAATTGAAAATTTAATCACCTT